GGGGGTACTTCAGCAACACTGCTTCGCGTATCGCACAGATGGCGCTTCCACTCTGGCATGCAGCAAACATTTTTGCGATTTTACGTTGCAAAAGCACCAGAAATATTAAATCGCTTAAATGTGTCATGAACGAAGCCGTCTTTAGCGAATCGGTCCTCTCGTTTTTATGCGTTTTTTACATCTATACAATGCGAAAGTGCATATTGCTGAGGGGTTATCTGTGTGTGTATGTTTGTATGCATGCCTGTGTGTTTGTCTGTATGTGCGTCTGTACTAATTTTTCGTCTCGAAACTCACAAGAGATACAAAGTTGAGACTTCGGGAACTTAATCTACATGCAAATGTGGGCCCCTTTTCCCCAAAGTGAGAGCGTATGGGCCTGTCAGAGTTTTCGGCAGGTATTTGAATTTAAGATGCCATGTTACATAGAAAGCTGGAATTTGAAGAGGATATTGCTTGTTATCCCACATGTACAAGATCTTCACGCGAGTAATCTACTCTCGAATCGAAAAAATCTTGGATGAAAATTTGAGAAGAGAGCAAACAGGATTCAGGAAGCGGTTCTCCACAATCGATCACATCTTTGCTTTAACACAGCTGATTGAGCGGAGCCGGAAATACAAAGTCCCGTTATGTTTGCTTTTCATTGACTTCAGGAAAGCCTTCGACTCAGTGGAACACAACGCGGTGCTTAAAGCTCTCAAGGAACAAGGAGTGGATCCAGCATACCTTGCTGTCATTAAAGATTCCATGACAGAGTCACATACAGAAATCACCCTCTTCGACGATCCTATATCAATAAAAGTAAAAGGAGGTGTGAAAAAAGGTGACATCTGTTCTCCGAAAGCTTTCACTAGCGCGCTCGAAAGTGCTCTTAGAAGGATGAATGCAACGGACGGAATAAATATCGATGGCGAGAAATTGCAGATGCTGCTTTTTGTGGACGATATAGTCCTTGTCAGAAAAAGCCCACAGTCGCCGGAATCTGCTAAGTGAGCTCGTCACAGAAACA